ACTAATGGTTATGAGTGACGGTATACCACTGCTAGTTTTAGTCCTACGTTTAATATACGAGTAAAACCTTTTTGGGTAATGAACGCAATCTAGTACTAATCGTCTCTCGTACTCTATACGACTCTTGTTAATCGCATACTTACAGAGGTTTCGAGTTTTGCGGTAGTCTTTCTGGAAGTTTTCCCTTCCTGTCATAACAAATTGGTCCCATAAGTTCTTTCGCCGTCTTAATAACCTCCTTATTTCACTAGTGATCCAAGGAGGTTCATGCGACGGCTTTCGAGGAGTGTACCAAGGTATAAAAGGTGAAGTGACACGATCTAGTGTATTCCTAAATCCTACCCAAGCTTCCTCGACAGTCTGACTTGTATCAACTGACCAGTCAACCACAGTTGCTGCGTTCCGGATTCCTTGTATATCCGCTTTCCAAATGTTTGGACGAGCAGATTTTGGCCTGTGCATGAGAGAATGAATCCTAAACGTAAAAGCAATGACTATGTGGTCACTGCTGCCAAGCGGCGGGAGGCACCTAATGTTACCAACGTCCTCCTTCTGGTGTGTCAATACCAAGTCTAGAGTAGATGGATCATGTTCAGGGTGATACCGTGTTGGTGCATGCATATGTTGCACGAGTGCACATTCAAGCACTGTCAATGTGAGCTCCCTATTGAAACAGGTATACAAACTAGTGGAGTTTAATTCCCCCCAATTAATATGTGGAGCGTTAAAGTCGCCAACAATCAGACACCTATTTCTACTACCCCACGCCCTCAAGTGATTTAGAACGAAGTCATCAGCTTGGCTAGCAGGACTTCTGTAGATAACTCCGATCGTTAAAGTGCCTTTGTTTAAGTTAATGATGCAACTTGCGGCTTCACTGGTGCCGCTGTCATGAGCTTCTGACAACGTTGACCTGATCCCTATGTCATCCCGGATGTAAAGAGCAACCCCCCCACCTTTCCGACTACTTACTCTGTCTGCTCGTATGCAGATATACCCAGGTATGAGTGGAGTTAAGTCTACACCCACTAACAACCACGTCTCAGTGATAGCAATTACATCAGGTTGTAGTCTTTCAGATAACTCTCCTAATTCGGCGAGCTTATTCCTAAGACTACATGCGTTCGTATAGCACACCGAAACACCTACGTGTTCACCCGGCTTATGAAGAGAGGTCTCGGCAGCATCGGTTTCCGAGACCTCACCACCCGAAAACCCAATAGTTTGAGGTCCTTCTCGCCTTTCTCTAGCCTGGCCTTTAGTTCAGCCACGGCTTCTCTTCTTTTGATTCTATCTTCCAAAGGCCAATCAGGCCTTATTTTTAGACTTTTGTCGTTGACTTTGAACGCGTTGTCGAGGATGGTCCTCCTCTCTGTTTCGTTCCCTAAAACTACCTTAAGTAGTCGTCGAGGAGTTCCTGTAGCATCAGGGTTTCGTTTTCCGATCCTGATAGCCTTTCGTACGTGTACTCCAGTTGTTTTTTCGGGAAGTATTTCCCGGAATATGGAGCTGATCGCCTTCAGATCATCTGCATGTCGGGCAGCTGGATCTGTGTTCTTAGATTCCTCCAAGTTCCAGATGATAATACTGTAACTAGAGTCCGTGGGTTTCTGAGTTTTGCTGGAACTAACAGTCGTCGAGACCTTGTTGGTAAACTCGGCTACTGTTTCTTTCCTAGTTTTGTTTAGCTTCTTACCTTTCGGCAGCAACCAAGTGGAGTCCGTTTCTCCCACTCTGTTTTCGCCGCGACTAGAAGCCATTCGTGCACTAGACACGCTGCGCTTTGGCGTTGCTATTTCACAGGCTGGTTTTGCCATGCTGGCACTACTTGCCCTTCTGGATTTCCGTTGCCTTTTGCGCTTTGCAGCAACAGATGTCTGGGCATTTTGTGCTTCTTTCGCTTCTGAGACTTCAGGAGGTGATGCACCCTGAATCTTACAACTATGTCCTGAACCGCCATCCTTGGCGAAGGTTTCTGGTACAGGCTTTTCAACTATGTCTTTCGACAATTTCTTGGACATCAAGAGTCCTACTGCCTCTTGGATGAGGACATCTAACGGGTTGCTGCAAAATTTGCACAGCCATGGAGATGATGGCTTGCAACATCTCTTATAGGCTACTGGTGTTAAACCAGTGCAAACTTTGTGGAACCAAAGGCTGCAGTTGTCACACTGCATCCCATCATCCACCGGAAAGTGGCAGTCCGGTCGACCACAATTGTTAGTTGGGGCCATAATTTTAATTTGTTACAACTATACAGTTATATATACGTCAAAACAGTGAGGTTAATGCCAAACAAATACACACTTATATATACGTGTGACAGCTAGGTAAATACCAACCAAAACACAAAATGTGAATAAAACAGACAACACTTGAACTAAATAAATCAGTTAAAGTGAACTAAAAGCTTCTGATGTGGTTTAAACAACAAAAGCAGAATTTACTTCACAACGTAAAAAATGCCACTCTCCTTTTTCAAAGCGCGCGCTGTAGGCCATTTCACAACAAAGTTATATAGGAGAATTGACTTCAAGCATTTCCCCCAGATATTTGTATTTGCGCTGATTTCTAGACAAGAAAAGGCGTTTCATCACCTCGTACTGAAGCGCTATATATGGCTGCTCGTTTGAAGAATGAAGTATGGAGTCTCACACCTCATGGATAATCTCATAAGGTAACTAAGAAGTCACATCCCTATACCTGGTAGTTTAGGATTTATTTCTATACAGGTCAAAGTAGTACTCTAGTTGGGTTAACCACAGTTCCAGGCCATGCCGATCAAATTGAGGCAATTTAACCCTGGTAGTTATTGAAGAATCCATCCTCGCAAAAGTAGGGTTTTTAAAGTCACTTTTCACGTTTGGCGAGTGAGACATTCTGAGGAAAGGGAAATTTAAACTAAATCTCACGTATCAGCGAGGACAATATCCGAAAAACAAAACATAAATCACTGAATAATAAAGCTTTTTGTATTTCATAATGAATGAAAAACAAAACGGTATTGTTTTTACTGACATTTCTATATTTAATTCTAACACCTTTCTCAAAGTGTTATCATTATTATTATAAATCACCGTAGTTAAATATGACGAAATAGTAGGCAATATGTGAACAGAGCGAGCTCATTAATTTAGAAACCGATTTTCCCATCAAAATAATTACTCAAATTACCTATCAACAGTTGGTGATATTTTAGGAGACTAGTGGCATTTATAAAAACCCCATCCTAGAGAACTCGGCAATGACCAAGTGGAGAGGGGGAAACTTAATCAAACACACGGAAGAAAATTCTTCAGTCAATAGACAAAGGAAGTCTTACTCATCGTAGGGAAGATCTAGTTCCTACTTGGTTACTCACTTTATCCTTGTTAGTTTCACAGATACTAGCTACATCTAAATAATCATAGCATACCATGTTGTAGAGGTCCTACATTGGCAATTCCATATTAGTTTGTTTATTAGATGTATAACAGTGAAACAGTATTATTTACTAGATGACGTTTCGAGCAAAATGTATTGTTCATAATCATGTCAGTTATGATCACAGGACTTCCAAACTTGAGTTTTATAGTCTCCTTTGTTCTCTCCCATTTGTCGTCGGTGTGGTAGTAGAATTTTCCAAATATCTGAGAAAGGTGTTGAATCATTCCCATCACATGTATTTGCGGATGATTCGATAAATAGAGCTTCCTTTATCTATCTTCGCCTTCACCCTGTTACATTAGATTCCAAAACTGTCGTTTTATCCCATCCCAATGTATGCTTGTTTGTTATTGCATGTACTGATGTAAATGAACTAGGAATGATTAAACACCGGTCCCAAATATCTGGAAAATTCTACTTCCTCTCCGACAAATAGGAGAGAACAACGAAAACTACAAAACTCAAGTTTTAATGCTTGGCGGTTTTGAGTGAATTGATTATAAGCAATACATTTTGTTGGAAATGTTATCCACTAAAAAAATACTTTTTCGCTGTGTGGTACATCTAATAAACAAACTAATATGGAATTACTACCACAGAGCCCAAGTTTAACACCTATAAACTGGCAATGCTAAAGGGATTGAAGTTTGAAGAGTTGTAACTAAGGATTTCCACGCGAGTGAAGGTTACTAGGGCGCACTTCTGATCGCAGGGTAGCAGCTCACGTAGGAAAAACAGCCCGAACAGCTTGGTTAGTGGGCTGAGTATTTTAGCCGCCAATTCATTGAGAAGCTTTTTGGTGATGGTCGTCGGGTCCCATAGAATTCGCTCTGGCTAATTTGTTTAGCGATCGTAATATTACATCTCGATCGACGTCGAAGAAAATGTTTCGGCTCTCCCCCCGCCTGACGGAGTTCATGCTATGTGGGATGATAACTCCTGTGAGTTTTTGAAGAGGTTGGCGGATTCACTTATCCGTCCTCCTCTTCGATTGTTTCGTCTTTAGTAGACAGTTTCGGAACTGTGTTGGATGTCTACTTTCTGAGATTTACGTACAAAAATATTTCCTCAGGTTGTGACACCACATTTCGAGCCGGATTCTCTACAGATTTCACCCGCTATTGCACTGCTTTCTTGCCTCTGGAGTTCCAAGGGTGAAAAACACGTTCCAGCCATTGAGCTTACAACTATATAGTCCACGAGTCCTTATGGTCTACTCATAAGAAAGAGTTTACAGCCCTTTGGGACAAACCGTATGGTGAAGCATTGGTGATGTAAATTTGCTTGAATTGATCCTATCCAGCTTCCTTGTGAGATCCCGCATTCATATCCCAATCCTGGGATTAGGCCACAGAATTGTAGACAGCAATGTCAAATTTCCATTTGTCAAGCCGATTTTCAGGACACTGCTGTGAAGTTAACCATGGGTACTGCGTGAAAACTAAGTCTCATATTTTAACCATGGGAGAAAATTAGGTCCAAGGGTGAGGGATGCAGTGAGTTGTACCCCTACAACTATTTAACCTATATTCATGATATTCCGATTACACCACTCCCTGTTTTTCTATTCATATAAAACTTATAATGATTCTTATGTTGAAGTTTTTTGCAGATTGTTGTTTAAGTTCTCCCATTGACGACGCGGGACACCACAGTTTCAGTTTTCCCTGTACATCTGTCATGTCCTCTTTCGGTGCGGCCAAGATGGCTTTAGCACGCCTGCCAAGACTAAATACATGCGTAAGTTTATCCAGATAATAAGCTAATATTTATATCCGTATTCTGCTGTCAATTAAGTACAAAACCCAACTCCAAAGATGATGGGAAGATGTGTGAAGCAACGTAATTGCGTTAATCAATGTAGTACAGTAATTCTGTCCTCATGTAGTCCATCCATGTTTTGTAAGATGCAGTGATCTTCAATCGATGTCTTTATATTGGGTATACAGCATTGACAGATAGTTGTTAGCTTTCCCAATGGTAATTACTGCTATGTGTAGTAGTTCTTGGATTGACTGCTTTATTAGGATAAGTTCTGGTGTGGTCAGATAGACTATGAGTGAGACCTTGATACAGCTAGGTCATAGTCCAATATGAGTAGTTGAGTGGTTGTTGATATCAGTTCTTACTGTAAACAATGATCTGGTTGCTGTTCGCCTAGAAGATAGGTTTCTGAGGCACCTCGTGTATACATACAAGCTGAAAGCCTTCCCAGTCATTGGATGCGCTGGTGGCCGTGTTTCGCTGCCTTAATAAAATGAGAAAATTGAAAGAATTGATTAGGAGGTAACTGAAACCTCTGCACTTCTAAGGTTGATCAACACGCACACGCTACTGACACGTCCTTCCGTCATCTCTCCAATCAGTGTTTTGTTGTTGACCACTTTCGCCTTGAGTACTTCACCTTGATTGCTAGCCGAGGTAACGGTACTTAGGAATTTCGTCATGTTGTTGATAAAATTCAACGCAATATGATTCACTGCATATATTACTCCCAATGTTCGCTGTTTTATTTGATGGCAACTAAAGTGACAATTGAGCTCTCTTATCTCATTCCGTGATGTGATTCACCTCGATTGCAGTCTCTATTAGCTCTCCGATATGATTATTGGCTAATTAATCCTAGGTCGGACTGTCCTGTGCATAATTCTCATTTTACACTACCTGTTAATCTCACTCATTTCGTGGTGTGATTGTATTTCAAACAAAGGCTTAGAAAATAGTCAGAGTTTAGGTATTTAACTTGTGTGCCTTCGCCCTACAATCTTACCAACTTAAACTTTACTAAGCCTTCGTAGTTTGTATTGTAGGTTCCTTGAACGTGATGGTCCAATTTGTGTATCGCAATGAACTAATGACCTTTGCAGAGCATTTTCTTGCAGGTTCTGCTTTGTTAGAAATGTCTGTTGTACAGCGGATAGACTAAAAGAAATTGCCAATATAGGACAGGTTGCGTGTTGCTTTGTGCACATTGAAGGGATAAGTTGCTCCTTTTTAAACATCTGATGTGTGCACAAAACTAGCGAGAGTAGCCACTTAGCCCTACCTGCCCTAATTCTCAGTGATAACAGAAAGTGTAGATCTAGGTAGAAGATAACCACTAATCTTGAATTGATTACAGCACTCTGTGATGGTATGAAGTGTGTTAGAAGCATGTCACTATAAGTTAGCGAATGCTATTGTATCATCGCAACTTATTTAAGCTGATGGAATGATGCCGAATCGAAAGCTGATCCACCACGTTCATTGACGTGTGACGCTTATTTAAGCAGGACTAAATCGAAGAGGTTGGTCAGGCAAAGTGGTACATACTTGTGGTTCTGGGCGTGTCTACGTATGGCAATAAAAGCTGTCCTTACGATCAACGATTGTGAACATTTTGACACGGGTGGAAATTGTTTTCGGTGGTTCATTTGTGTTCATTTAAAAAAATCTAGGTACCCGAAATCCCTACTGATATCTATCTAATTCTTCCCATGCATCTTAATGCACGGTATTGTCGTTATGTTTCTTTTCTTCATATATCAGGCTTGTTCATTTCATGCAAACCGCATGATGGTATAAGCGTATGTAATGTATCTTTTGCACAAAAAATAAAGTCGGCAATTCGAATGATTTATATAATAGAATATGATGACTGAAGTTCATTGAGAAACATCATAGCTTCTGGCTCAGCTTTGAAGTATTCGTCTAGCGAACAAACTAATGTTGCATATTGAAAAATTTATTTCATATAGCTTCTAGTGTCGATAACTGGATCACGTTTCAAGCACGTCACGTTTGTGGATCATGTTTTCTCTGCCTTTATTAGTTATAAATTTATATAAATTATAAGTTAAACGAAGTCTTATTGTTTGCGTCAAAGGAAATCTTATTCTTAAGGTATTGTGAGGATTGAATAAGTAGTTCAAGTTTATGAATATTTTCGTAGCCCCCGTCAAGTAAAGGTGCATACAGTGAAATTATCCTTCCTGCTAAAATTTTTAGCTTACTTGAGCAGCAAGATGTATTATTTTTGGGTTTTATTTATCACCTGCATTACTTTCATGCATTTTTATCATATGTCTGTTAACTAGTGTTACGCCTTATTTTTTCAGGTGCTTAAACAAATTGGATGCAGACTTCTGTCGACGTCCCACGTTCAAAAGGCTGGAGCCCCTGAATTCTCCAGTATTTTGGAGGACCGCATTTTAGGGCAAACTTTACAAACAAACTTAGAGGAAACTGGGCGCGTTTTAAGTATTGGTGATGGTATTGCTCGCGTCTATGGCCTAAAAAACATACAGGCTGAAGAGATGGTGGAGTTCTCGTCTGGTCTCAAGGTTTGTCTACTTTTGTCTTTTTACATGCTGTTTAGGGTATGGCCCTCAACTTAGAACCTGACAACGTCGGTGTAGTCGTCTTTGGTAATGATAAACTTATTCGTGAAGGCGATATTGTCAAAAGGGCAGGAGCCATTGTTGACGTACCCGTTGGCGAAGAATTACTTGGTCGGGTAGTTGATGCTCTAGGTACACCGATTGATGGGGCCGGTGCAATCAACACTAAAACAAGACAGCGTGTTGGGGTTAAAGCCCCCGGTATCATACCCCGCATTTCTGTCCGCGAGCCAATGCAAACAGGAATTAAAGCTGTCGACAGCCTTGTTCCCATTGGTCGGGGTCAACGTGAACTTATCATCGGAGATCGTCAGGTAATTTTGCACTATATGGTAATCATTAAATTTTCCAGACGGGTAAAACAGCTATTGCAGTAGACACCATTATTAATCAGAAGCGTTTCAACGAAGCAGCGGATGAAAAGAAAAAGCTTTATTGTATTTACGTCGCCATCGGACAAAAACGTTCAACAGTTGCGCAGTTGGTCAAACGACTTACTGACTCAGATGCCATGAAGTATACAATTATTGTATCCGCAACAGCTTCTGATGCAGCTCCTCTTCAGTATCTAGCTCCATATGCAGGATGTGCAATGGGTGAGTATTTCCGTGATAATGGGAAACACGCATTGATCATATATGATGATCTGTCAAAGCAAGCAGTTGCTTATCGACAAATGTCATTGTTATTACGAAGACCTCCAGGAAGAGAAGCGTATCCTGGTGATGTATTCTACTTGCATTCACGATTGCTTGAAAGAGCTGCTAAAATGAATGATTCATACGGAGGAGGTTCACTCACAGCTCTTCCTGTCATTGAAACCCAGGCTGGTGATGTATCTGCATATATTCCAACCAATGTCATATCTATTACCGATGGACAAATATTTTTGGAAACTGAATTATTTCACAAAAGTATTCGACCCGCTATAAATGTTGGTCTTTCTGTCAGTCGCGTTGGTTCTGCAGCTCAAACTAAGGCAATGAAGCAAGTTGCTGGCCGCATGAAGTTGGAACTTGCCCAGTATCGAGAAGTAGCCGCTTTCGCTCAGTTCGGTTCTGATTTAGATGCATCGACTCAGTCGTTGTTAAATCGAGGTGTACGATTGACAGAACTCTTGAAACAAAATCAGTATGGTATGATGACTTTTAATTAATCACTTACTTGTTTTAGCTCCAATGGCAATTGAACAACAAGTAGTCGTAATATATGCTGGTGTTCGAGGACATTTAGACAAATTGGATCCATCTAAAATCGTTCTTTTCGAACAAGACTTCCTCAAATTTGTCTTGGCAAACCATCAGGATCTGTTGAAAACTATTCGTGAAGATGGAGAACTCAAGCCACAAACTGATGAAAAATTAAAGAAGATTGTTGTCGATTTCATAGCTGGATATCAAGTGTCTGCATAGGCAATCAGATAGTAGTACTTTTTCATCATATTACTTATGCTTCCGTCAGCAGTTTTATGTACTTAGTCTTATGAACAATAAAAATCTCTCAAAAGCAGTGTTTCATGTAATTAGATTGATTTCCTTACTTACAAAGAAAAGATTGAGTCAAACGAATCAGATTCTCCAAAAAATTTATTTTTTATCTGGGGTTCTCGTTTCCAAACAATGAGAACTACCAGGTACTAAGAAAAACCACAAGATTGAAAATGTTCCTTGTTCTTATTAGAGATTAGGATTAGAATATGTTATAGGAGTCATTATTCACTGACTTAATACTTCGTAAACAACAGTCATTGTGTTCATACTTGTACAGTCGACCTTAAATTTGGTGGATTCAGTAATAACCTGTTTGGTCTCAAACAGTGAAATAACTTTTAATTGCTAGTTGATTCTGAATCTCACTGTCATGTGTGCTGCATTGTTTGGTCATAGTTCTCTCCTCAATTCCTATTACAGATAACTACCTACTTAGTATTAGTGGCGTGTATTGTGTATCTGCTGGCTGGGTTTGTATTTGACGGCAAACTATTTCCATTTATGATGCATGCTAACTTTTAAGCAAAGGAGTTGGAAGCGCAAGCCTCAAAAACTGCACTCCATTTCGCTCGTTAACTCTCTTCTTCCAATGGTAACGTTATGTAAGTTTCGATCCAACCTTACCTATCAAACCTAGATGCTCCAATTGGTCTCAAATATAGATTAGCATAGGATGCGTAGTCTATCATCGTGCTGTTTAGATCCAGCAGTCGGTTCATTCCACTCATCAGGTTTGTGAGCATACTAACTCTGCACGACCATGTTATTTTTTAAATTATTTTTTGTGTGCACTTCTGAGTGAGGCTTTATACTTATTCGATCAGTTACCTAATAACTTCGAGTTCGCATTCTTCTGTGCAGTTTTTAATAAAGTCAATTGTTATAAGGTTACAAAAATTCTTTGGAATAAAATTTCGTTTGATGTAAGTGTAGGGTGATATGCTACATAGTCTGTGAACATCCTCAAATATTATTTCGCATCAAACAGACACGTCGAGAAGTTCTGATCTGTTCGATGTTTTGAGTGTCGAGTCGTGAATCTGGTCGGATTTTAACATCAATACTTAAAGTGAAGCTGGATTTAATTCCAGGCACTTATTTCCAGTCCTGTAGACTTTCATTATACGGATGAATTACTTATTTCATTTTGTCAAGTGCCTGATGGTTCTAATGATAATCATTTGTTCGAACTACCGTAGGTGAGACGGCAATATCTGTTTTGGATGTATGAATTGTTCTGTTTAATTTGGAGTAGAATAGGGGGGTCTCGAAATTAGTCTTGATTCACACTCGAATGTGATTATTACTGAAGTTTCTCCAAGATGTGCCAAAGCAAAAAGTTGCATTTGAAATAGAAGTTGGCGAAAGATCAGTGTCTAAAAACTTTTAAACCGAATCAGTAACTGTGAATAGGTTATTTCTCCCACCAAATGTAAGATCATGTTACAGAACTGGACTACACTGACTCCTAGTTTAGAAATAGGGAGTGAAGTGGTAGAGCACGTTGACCGCTTCACTTATTTGGGAAGTACCATCAGCCAACGCCAGAGGGTCGATAGCTGACGAAATCTAAGCACGCCGTCTCTGGCGCAAACGTGACATCCGGCTATCGGTCAAAGGACGTCTGTGCTGCTCAGCAGTCCGTTACGTCCTCCTTTATGGCTGTGAAACGTGGTCATTGAAAATGGAAGACATGAAAAGACTAGCTGTCTCAGACCATAGGTGCCTGCGTTCTGTCTCCCGCTTTAAGTGGTATAATAGGGTGAGTAGTATTGAGGTTGGACGTCGAGTGCTAGGTTAGGAGCGGAAATCAATCGACGAGGCTGTGAAGTTACGTCGGCTGGGATGTTTAGGACATGTGTTACGTATGCCTAGTCATCACCTCCTTCGACGGGAAATGTTAGCTGGCCTAGAGTCAGGCTAGAAAAGAGCTAGCGGCGGTCAAACGAAAACATGGTTTCATCAGTCAATGAACTCCACAACAGTTAGTTTAAGCCATGTAGTAAGGTGCAGACTGCCTGAGTGGTTGGGGTCCTCGGGACGGTAAAAACCAATGGCTGGAAACAATTGTTGATATGGATCAAAATCGTTCTTAATGGCTGGCGCTGATGCATCTACTCATTGTGAATTGTAATTTTCAAAGGAACTGTATTGTTCTTCTTTATTACTATTCCTCTTGTCTCATATCCCTGTATACTGTCTCTATTTTGCATTTCTTCTCTTGCTTTGTGTGCTACATGAACTGCTACACATCGGTGCAAAGTTCTATGTTGACAGGTTATTTCTCAGTCCTCTTATATATATATATATATATATATATATATATATATATATATATAGCGAGAGAGAGAGAAAGAGAATTAGACGGCTGATATGATTATGAATAATAAATTCTGTTGGAAACGTTATCCACTTATTTATACTGTATCACTGTGTTATATCAAATAAACTTATCTAATTTAGAATTATGTTCTATCACAGTACTTGGATTCTACTCTTACGTAAATGATCATAATAAAAGTCTACCGAATATCAACTAAATCCCATGCATACTGAGGAGTTTCCGGTGATTTCTAGTCACCACTTACACAGTGGCAACACTGAGCAAACTAGTCTGATTTCGTGTATTATAGTGAAGGTCTGTATTCGCGTTTAATCCTTGATGGTGTGTTCACGTTTCCCGAAAAACCCAGATTGCTACACATTCCCCTCACTCTCTTGCAACGACTTTTGTGTCTTCTATGATTAAATGGGTATACCGCACTCTTTGGCATGTCGCTAAATGATACTATCCCGAAATACGTCACTTTTTTTCTATTTTCAAACAGTTTCATCGGGAAATTCGAATACAAGTACGTCAGTCTATAGTGGGTGCTATTGACAAGATTTCATAAATGGTGTTTTGCATGTGGTGTCTTCTACAGGAATATTGAGGAGGAATAAGAGATCAATGTGGAATAATATAGGATGCATGGAAGGAAGATGAAGAAGCACAAAATGAAAAGTGCGTTCAAGTAGAGATTTAAATGCAAGGGCCCTGCAATTTGATGAATAAATAATCCTGCTATCAAATACAGCCGTGCTATACCGTTACAAGCCAAGCTTGTAGTTATTATCATGAAAATTTAAGTCAGCATTCTGGTAACGACAACATTATCAGGCTCATTACGTAATTATATATGATGGATTGGAAGTTTCACTAGTCGTACAACAGAAATTTTCCAGATATCCAGGAGAGGTGCTTGATTATTTGCACGGTTTTTCGATTAATTTATTAAAATGTCTGTCAATGCGTCCTCTCAGCATGCTGACTTGGGTTCTGGCACCTTCGACTTTTTTCATCATGCTGTATGATTGTATGGCTTCATGTAATGCTATAGATGAGCTTTCCTCTCAATTTTCTATGTCAGTAAAGTCAAACAGTTCAGGTTTTCTAAATTCTCTTCCATACCGGCTTGGTTGATCCGGTTCGTAAACTTGATCACCGACTCATAACTAAACAACATATTGGTGGGATAGTGACTAGCAGTAGAATTCAGGATGCTGATTTCGTCTTATTTGGGACCCGTCACCTGGCTGTACCTTCATTCCACAGTGAGTGATGGTGTTCCCATCGAGGATCCAACCCAGTGCCCAATGTTTCAGACTCCAAAGAGGACGGAATGCGCATCCTGGATTCCACTGCTAGTCGCCATCCACAAATTAATTTCTAGTTACATGCTCAGACATTGTCGAAGCATCTGCACAAGGAGCCGACATGTCAACTTGATACCGAGTACTTTGGTCCAATCAATCGACGGGAAAATCTAAAATTGAATAGAACAACATATTACTGAATTAAAGGTATCCAGCGAAAAAGGTTCACATGAAAGCAATGAGCTTGTCTTACTGGACAGATTGGATTACATTCAAAAGACGTTTGAAATTCTCAACGACGACAGAAAATTCTCAAACCAGAGGGTGTAAAAGACAGCGCTCCCCAAAGAGAAAATCAGTTGACTAAAGTGATTTAAAAAATGAAACAACATTCAATAAGTAGTCCACGAACATATGAAATGATTCAACCGTCCAGTTCAACATTTTCATGATTTATGTCGCCTGCCTAAAATCCACAGAGAGGAGTTACCCCTGCTTACAATCTTGGACATATCCAGACCATACCCTAATCATACAGTAGCAATAGTGAAACAGCATTATTCACTGGATGACGTTTCGAACACAATTTATTGTTCATAATCAGATCAGTTATAATCACACGACTTCGAAACTTTGTTCTCTCCTACTTGTCGTAGGGGTAGTAGGATTTTCCAGATCTCCGACTGAACAGGTGTTGAATCATTCCTATTACACGTATTTGCAATTGATTAGATAAACAAAGCTTCTGTTACCAATCTCTCCCTCCACCCTGTGACATTAGATTTTAAAAGTGTCATCCTATCCCATGCTACTGTATGGTTGTGTTGTGTGTAATTGCATGTGGTGAGTGCTTTAGCTGAACTATTCTCTAGATTTCTTATCTTATTCGAGTCAACTAATCTAGATTTTGCTAGGATGTTATGCTCGGCTGGTCTGACTGCTCCTGTTTCACTGCTTTAACCTGACAATCAATTCAGACAGTGTATTAGATAAACTAAATTGTTTTGTTTCAAAGGTTTCACAGGATCCTTTAACCGACAAAGCTTGTTTCTGATTGAGTTTGTGGGTTTGAATGCCAGCCACTTTTATTCCTGCCTTGTCGAGAATTCTGTGTAAGGTTTCCGAAGTTCTTTCCTTGTATGGAATTACTACTGATGATACAGATTCCTCATTGTTGGTGTTGTCATTATCTTATGCATGTTTGACATGCATGTCGTCATTAATATATTGTTATTATCACTATCACTACTATCCTTATTTATTTTATTTTTGTTTTTACATTTCCTTACATACCTTCTAACTAATTTATCAGTGTAATTATCATGTTTCAAAGCTTCTCTTATATGTATCACTTCCTGTCTTAGATTTTCCTTGGTACTGCATAGTTTTTGTGCTCTATTATATAAGCATTTTATCAATCCTATTTTCACTGACATAGGATGGGATGATCGGATGTCCAAATATCTAATTGAATGTGTGGGTTTCCTGTAAACACTAGTGTTTAACTTCGCATCCACTTTCTTTTTTGTGCTACAATAGAACATTGAAAGTTCCCCTTCCTGACTTCCAAATTCATAAGTGAATTGAATTGCCTCCACCTTTGAGTTAATGTGTTCAAAAAACGTATCTATATTCTGTGTTCTAAGTACAGTGAATGTGTCATCTACATACCTCCACCATACTTTTAGGGATTTGAAGCTTTGAGGCGTGCACCTTCTAGGTATACCGCTGGCTAATACGTGGAGCGAAATTTCAGTTTACAGGTTCTAATTAAATTGTAAATAATGGTGTGATCTGTGAAGCCACTGTCGCTGGTCAAATACATAGGTCAAAGTAGTAAAACAGGAGCAGTCAGACCAGCCGAGCATAACATCCTAGCAAAATCTAGATTAGTTGACTCGAATAAGATAAGAAATCTAGAGAATAGTTCAGCTAAAGCACTCACCACATGCAATTACACACAACACAACCATACAGTAGCATGGGATAGGATGACACTTTTAAAATCTAATGTCACAGGGTGGAGGGAGAGATTGGTAACAGAAGCTTTGTTTATCTAATCAATTGCAAATACGTGTAATAGGAATGATTCAACACCTGTTCAGTCGGAGATCTGGAAAATCCTACTACCCCTACGACAAGTAGGAGAGAACAAAGTTTCGAAGTCGTGTGATTATAACTGATCTGATTATGAACAATAAATTGTGTTCGAAACGTCATCCAGTGAATAATACTGTTTCACTGTTGATACATCTAATAGAGAAACTAATATCAAAATATGGTTTATTTGTGAAATACATTTCGAACATTCTGATCAAATATTTAGTTGTCAGGTTGATTTAAATGAAAAATAAAAGACTAATTAAAATAAATAATCTGTGATCGACTTGTGAAAACAAAACTAACCCTTGCAAACCAACTACAGAAAATTGATAAGAGATTTAAGAGTAAGACTAATAAGAATAATTAACACTACATGTGATAATATAACCAGATAGGGACTACGTAGTAGGAATACTTTGTTTTTGTACACATCGGAGGTAGGTGGGAATAAAGTGTACGAATTGCTATCGCCTCGAAGTATTTCAATAGGCGCCCCTGACTGTTTTTATAAATAATCTTGAAAGCTGTTTTTATATCAATTTTGTAATTCATATCAGTTAAATGTTCAGCTATAGACGAAGTCGGTAGTTTGCCTCACCTGCTTTCTTCAAGGTTTCACAGTTCACTGATTTTTCTAACCATTCGGATGTATGTTCTCCCACCTTCTGGTACAAAATGCGGTTACTCCCCCTGTGCATTCATGCGTGACTACACACGGACATGCATCTTACTCTTCATATAAACTGATTTAACAAGTGAATCTGTAATCAAATTGTTCAAAATGTTACCGTTCAGACACTGACTTATTTTGTTATTAGCTAACAATAACCCTGACCTGTCTCTATAGTCAGTTGACATCGTTTATATAAACCTAAATAACTGTACAGCTTTGAAGGGAAGTTACCAAACGACTAACGTGTTCTTGATTAAATGAAATGGGAAATTTTCATACCTTTTAGTATATAAGATACACCATATCACTATGTGATTTCAGTCAATTAACATGATATATGAAAGAAATGCTTCTCTTTTAGTTAAACCAGTAGTTTACTGATAAGAATAATAACTTGCATAAAAGCAGAGCGGAATGTTGGTTTATGGCAGTCAATACATTATATCAATGGCCGGCTTGTTAAATTTGGGCTACCTATATCACATGCTGAAAATTCCTTACTTGTACGAAAAAATACGGTGTAGAATCAAGCTATAATAAGAAAAATAAAAAATATAACACTAAGTGTTGAAGAATTACAGAAGGTAGCATAATCACTTAAAGTATGATAACCAGTAGAAGACTAACTATGGACACATAGAAATGCTCATCATAACTTTGACTGCGTTTAATGTAGGCATACAGCAATGTCTTCTCTAGTCTCAGCAGTATTGGTTTCTAGTTTTTATTCCCGGTAAATGCATTTCTTCACTGCTTTATCAAAATTAATGTCTTGTTCGCATGTCAACGAGACTCGACAGTTATTCAGTGAAACATTTTTTTATATTTGACTGTTTAAGCATCAATAAGATAAAATTATTTCATATTATACCCAATAAGA